AGCTGGCATCTCTTCTTTCCCAATGATTACTGTGTGTACCTTAGGCTTTTTATTATTAAACCAGGGGTCTGGCTCCTTCTCCAGGGGCGAGCTGCGCTCCTTGCCTTGCGTTTTCAGATCATATACCAGGGAGCTGGAGCCACCTTTTTGGCCTGGACAGCTTGAGCCACAAAGGGGGGCAGTCAGAGAGGACCAAATTGGGTTTGTTGATGCTGCTGAAACTTTAGAGAATGGAGAGCTTTTAGGGGTCATCCTGCTCTGGAAAGTGGGCTTTGGGGAAGGCTGCAGAGAGGGTGACAGAGGGACTGCTGAGGGTGAGCAGAGGGAGCACCACAAGCTGCTATGAGCCAATGTTGTTGGTGGGATCTATTTTTGGAGTGTGTTACCAGGAGCTGGGGGAAAGCAGACCCCACCCCCAGACCCTATCCAGCATTGGGAACTTTCTGATGGGAACAGCCAAGTCCCAAACAGGGGAATGGGACAGGAGGATCCCATTTCCACACCCTTTTCCATGCTGAGGCCTGACGGCAACATCCCCAGGGAGCTGAGACTTCCCTGCCATGGTGGGCTGTGATCTGCCACGGGGACAGTGCAGCTGGTGTCATGCCTTTGCCACCTGCCTGGTAGCAGATGGAAGAGACCGTATTAACACAGGACTTCCCGGTTTATGACCTGTGGCTTGGGTGCTCGAGCTTGTGCTTTCTTCAGGGCAGCGTTGCTGCTATGCAGCCCGCAGCACTTGGAGCAGTGCAGCAGGAGCTTCTCTCTGGATACACAAGGGCCTGAAATTCAAGTCAGGGATCTAGGAGGGGTTCGGGGGCTATAGGGAGGGATGAGAATAGATGCAGCAGCAGGAGAGAGGCTTGCAGAAGCTGCACTTGGGAGGAGTGGACTGAGGCTGGGTGGCCTGGAGAGGGGCGAAAGGTGCCTGTGAATATCATACAGACCTGCTAAGTGCTGGGGATCTGGGAGTCTCATCAGGTTTATGTTGTCTGCTACATCTGTATTTACAAGTAGTTTTTATCTTGCATGTTGCAAGGACATGCTGGAGATGTGGGGTGAGCAGTGTTACAACACAGTGTGTTAGAGTCACTGAATAGTTTGGGTTGGAAAGGACCTTTAAGGATTACCCAGTCCAACCCGCCTGCCATGAGGTTTCACTAGATCGGGTTGCTCAAAGCCCTAACCTTGAACATTTCCAATGATGGGGCATCCACAGCTTCTCTGGGCAACCTGCTCCAGTGTCTCACCACCATGATAAAAAAATTAATCCTTATGTCTAATCTAAACCTACCTTCTTTCAGTTTAAAACCATTGCCCCTTGTCCTGTCGTTGCAGGCCCTGGTAAAAAGTCTCTCTCCATCATTTTTATAAGCCCCCTTGTTTATTAAAAGGCCTCAAGAATGTCTTTTGTTGTTGTGATTGCCCTCCAAGGAGTTGTGCCAGGTTACAGGGCCTTCACCACTAAGGTGAAGCTCAGACCTACTTCAGACATGGCAAGAGCAGCCCAAAGCACCAGTGTGCACTAACCGTGGATAGGGTGAGGCACCCCAGTGCCTCTTGCAGTGAACAGGATTTTTAAAGATGGGGGAGTTGTTTATGTTGCTAAGTGAACTTGTTGAGGGGACACACCTGGGAGGGGGGATGCTGTAGGGACAGCACTGTGTCTTTTCATGTCACCAGCTTTAGGGGAGGGCTGTTCCATGGCTGGCAAGGAGATGGTCGGGTCTGCCTGCTGCTGGGACCCTCCTGCCTTTGCTCTCTGCCTTCTGCGTTTCAGCCTTTGGGCAGGTTGTTGCTTTGCAGTGGTGTAGGAAGGACCCACATCTCCCCTTGGCATGCACTGGTGGCCATGGGGTTGCGTGGGGCAGCCTTGCTTCCAGCTGGCAGCAACCTGGCACGGCCGCCGGCCGCACTGGGCTGTGGGTGCAGTGCTGCAGGCAGGTTATTATTAGGAGTGGTGCATTGCAGGAGGGAGCAGGGAAGGAGCCAGGCAGAAGAGGAGAGGGTGAGAGGTTCATAATGGATGGGTGCACAGATTTGTCTCTTGTGGGGTGAATCGCTGTCTCCTTCTGCCTTTAAATTGCTGTTTATCTGATCTGAACTCATCTTCCATAGCACTGGTATGAAATGAACTCTTACCAGGATTTGCAGCTGTGCTTTACTTTCCCAGTGAGTCTGGGATATATAGAGATTTGGAGGGAGGCGGGGACCAAAAAAGAGGAAGTGCCTCACAGAGAAGGATGCTGCAAATTTTTTTCTTGTGGTGGAAGGCATTTTTGTCCCTGGCGAGGAAGGCCTTGTTTGAGCAGCTCCCATATAAGGGCAGTTCTACCTTTTAACTTTCTTCTTTCTTTTCCCTTCATCTCTCTCTTTCCCCAAAGGGATGGGAACCCCCTTTGATTCCCCTTCTGGAGCTGTGGTATGGATCCAGCATCAAACAGGAGGAGTGTATACTTTGTCCTTGTTTCAGTAAGGAACAGCACTGGTAGCTTTAAGAGCTTAGAAATTCATAAGCCAGGGCTCTCCCATGTTGTCAGATTGTCCAGATACCCTGAGATAACAAGTGTGAGGGCTTCTCATATACTTTCTGATTTCCTAGACCTTAGGATTTATTGTTCAAACTTGGTGTAAGTGAGAAGAGAGATTTTTCATGTCCTCATGCAGAGTCACAGTGTCTGTGTTGATGCTTGCAAGCATTAAATAGAAACCAGAGATCACCACACCAGGAAGAGTCCAGCTCTGGTTGCTTTCCCAGAGTAGTCTTACTTTCTTGGAAAAATCTGGTGCTCCCAGAGAAGCCAGGAGCCAGGTAAGAATGCAGCAGCCCTGCCCCATGCCACACCACAGCACATGCCAGCCCACCTGCTCTGTGGGATAGTCACTCAGCAAAGAGCAGTGCAGCTTCATGGCCTCCCAATAGACTGTGGAGTGGGCCAACACTGCAGCATGATCTAAGAGGACGATCTCATGCAGTGAAATATAATATAATTGCCAGGGGATGTGTCTTTGTATAGCAAGGCCGGGTGCCTTGCAGGTCAGCCGCTTTCAAAGCTGCAGAGCCTCATACAGTACCCACCAGCCAGCCTGGTGTAAACTGAGACACCCTATCCTGCTTCCTTCTAGGATGAAACAATGTTCTTTGATCCAACCTGTTATGCGGCAGTAGAACCAAGGACACTTGTTCTCCTGCCCAGGCAGCGTGGCCCGGCACAGGGCAGCCCTCTGCATTGGTACAGGCGGAGAGCAGCTCTTCATGTGGTGCATATCGTGCTCACTCACACCGTGAGGTGGTTTGGTGTCAAGATTGGATTTTGTGCTTCTGGACAGTCTGAGCTGCAACACTGCAGACACACAAATGTGGTCACAAAAATGTGGCACAGGAGGCAACTCTGCCACATCTGCAAACCCGTTGTTGAGTGTTGGAGCTGAACCTCATGTGACCCAGGGCTGAGGGGCTCGGGGGTGGATGGACAGACCAGTGGGCTGCATCAGGCCGTGGGCCAGCCCCAGTGTGGCAAAGTGTGCAGTACAGCCTGGGTCGGTGTCCCCAGCTCCCCCCGTCGCAGGGTGGGCAGCCGTGGTGGGGCAGGGTTCGTGGCCAGCGGGGCTGATGCACTTGGCAGCTGCCATCGCCTGAACACGAGAGGCTATGCATTCTTGGGCACGTTCTCCTTCCCACCCCGGTGCCGTCATCCCACCCTCTTGGATAGCTTTGGGGTGAGCAGCTGCTGCTCCGTCCTCTCTCTTTGGCAGCCAGCGAGGCGAGGCCGATAGGATCTGACCAGCACGTTTGTCTCCCTAGATGGGAAGAGGAGTACACGGTGCGTGTCCAGCTTCAGGACCGGGTGACTGAGCTGCAGGAGGTAAGCTCTGCTGTCCCCCACTTCCTTTGCAATGCAGCTGCCCCCCCCTAATGCTGATTTGCTTGTCTCCCTCTGCCTGGGGCAGGAAGCCCAGGAGGCTGAAGCTTGCCAGGAGGAGCTGGCCATGAAGGTGGAGCAGCTTAAGGCAGAGCTTGTTGTCTTCAAGGGACTGATGAGCAATGTGAGTCCCTAACCCCTCTCTGACCCCACAGCTGGTCCTACGTGAGCAGTGGGGCTGTGTAGAAAAGCAGTTCCTTGGTGGGGCACAACCAGCACGGAGGTGGTCTGGCAGGGTGCAGTGAGCAAAGCGGAGATGTGGATGCGGTCCTGCATGAGCAGGAAAGTGGGGGCAGTGATTGCTGTTTGCTTTGCCTAATATTCCTCCTTTGTTTCCTTCCTGTGATGTTGTGGGTTCAGAATATCACAGAGCTGGACACAAAGATCCAAGAGAAGGCCATGAAGGTGGACATGGACATCTGCCGGCGCATCGACATCACTGCCAAGCTGTGTGACGTGGCACAGCAGAGGAACTGCGAGGACATGATCAAGATGTTTCAGGTGAGAAGTGCCTGATGCTGCTCCAGGCTCAGCTGCTGGCTCGTGGGGAAGAGAGTTCTCAAAGGAGGTAGAAGAGACAACACCAGACCCCTGCCAGGGGAGACGCTTGGTCACCCTCACCCTCACTCCTTGCAGTCCCTTGCTTTCTGTCTCTCTCGGGAGGACCAGGCTAAAGGGCACAGAGAGGAGGTGGAAAGCTCCAGATGTTGCTTTAGGCATCAAGAGTCCCCTCAGCCTCTTGCTGACCTATTGTGTTGGGCCCGGGGACACCATAGTGGTAGGGGAACAGCTGCAGGAGGGAGACGAGTTGCTCGAGCGTCTGTCTCTAATTCCATCTCTCTCCTTCCCCTTCCCCTCTCCGTCATCTTCTCTCTGTCTCTCTTCTCTGTCTCTGTCTCTTTTCTCTTTCTGGATGTTGCTGCCTTTCTGTTTCGCTCTTTGTCCCTACAGAAGCAACTGGTTAGTTTCATTCAGTTGGGAAATTTTACAAATTTTAAACTTACTATAAATAAGGTCGGACTGTATATATTGACATATTTCACCTTTTTCAGACTCTCTTTTTTCCTGTTTCTGTCACTGTGTTTCTCTGTCTCTGGACTGGGGTGGTGGGTGATTTGAGTTTTTCTGCAGTAAAACCACATTGTTTTTTCTCATCAGATTCATAGATTCCATTTTTAGTTGCTTAGTTTTAATTTTAAAAAATGCTAAAACCATGTTTTATCCATTGCATCCACCTTTAACCTGATCATAATGAGCCCATCTCTCTCTCTCTCTCTCTCTCTCTCTCTTCTCTTCCTTCCTTTCTTTCTGTCTTTCTCTCTTTCCCTGCCTTTCTGTCCCTCCACCATTCCTTTCCCCTCCATCTCCTCCCAACTACCTGCTCCTGACCTCGGACCCGGCTTCGTTTCTGTAGTCTCTGCACTTGTCTCCCGTTAAGGTCCCAGCCTCGGTGGGGCGGAAGCGGGAGCGCAAGCAGGTCAGCGACGAAGACACCTCACTATCAGAGAGTGATGCCTCCCGAAAACCTGAAGAGGAAGAGGAGGATGAGACCACTGCCATGAGTATCAATGAGGAAATGCAGAGGATGCTGAACCAGCTGTGAGTGCGGCTGCTGCGCTCCTCTGCCGACGGTGTTGCGCCAGGCTCCAGCATCAGGCTCCCGGCTGGTGCCTGGGATGGGGAGGGCAGGGGTGGTCTGCAGCTCCCCTTCCCAGCTGAGGGCAAGATGGGAGGTGCTGCTGTGGAGTATGTACACCCTGTGCTCTGTGGCACGGTGGGACTGACCCCCTTGGGAGTCCTGAGCCCACCCGTGCCGTGGGTGGGAGCTGGACCAGCTCCCCCTCTCTTGACCCCTTGCCACGTTTTGGGAGTCCCTGCCTGAATTTTCTGGGGCTTCTGACCATATAACCCCTCCCCATCATGTGTTGGGTTTGGGCACACTTGAGTTCACCCTGGCCAGACCACCCAAGAGCTGCAGCCCTGCAAGCTCATGAGCGGGAGCAAGGCTTTCGGCACCGACTCAGCCCCTGCCTGCCATGGTGTTCCTGCTGGGTTCTGATGTGCTGTTCCCTTGCCCCCAGGAGGGAGTATGACTTTGAAGATGACTGTGACAGCCTCACGTGGGAGGAGACAGAAGAAACGCTGCTCCTCTGGGAGGACTTCTCTGGATATGCCATTGCAGCCGCAGAGGTGCAGGGGGAGGTAATGGTGGTGTCAGGTCCCCGTGGGGATCCAGCCTTGGGTTGGGACACCTGGTCCTGCCTCAGCCTGGGAAGATGCTCCCTCAAAAACCAGACTTCAACTCGTCTATGCCTTTTCAGGCCTGTACAGATGCTTTCCTACCCTTTCTACACAAATACATGAATACATTACTTGTTGAGGTCTCCCTGTTAGAGACACACCAGGGACCTGTAGCCTGAAGGATGTGCTGAGAACATGGTCCACACACATAGGGGAGCCACAGTCCTCCCAGAAGAGAAGACCTCCTCTGACTGGGCTGGTCTGTGGTGATCCCTTGCTCATGTTCTCCAGCCCATCTACCCAGTGTGCAGCAAAACTGCCCAAGCAGTATCTGGCTAAAGCCCTTGTCGTCCCACATCTTTGGCCCCCAGCAGTCCCCTGGGGATGTGTAATGCTTGGAAATGGTCTGTGCTCTCCAAAGCTTCTGTGCATTGCTGGGCTTGTTCTGGGTTGATGTGTTCACTGCCCGGCGTGGCGAGTCCTAGGTCTCCTAACTCCATGTTGGCAGAACTGAATCATGCCTTCTATGCACTACACTGTATATGTTTCTTCCTCTTTTCCCAGTGTTGCCAGTTCTTTCTCTTTCTGTCTTGCCTGTGATTCCTCATGTTGGACACCTCCCTGCCTCTAAACATGCTGTCTGCTCTCCTCAGCAGCAGGACGACAGCCTGGAGAAGGTGATCAAGGACACGGAGTCACTGTTCAAGAGCCGTGAGAAGGAGTACCAGGAAACCATCGACCAAATAGAGGTGGGAGAATGAGGAAGTGGGAAGGGCATAGCACATAGAAGGGTGTGAAATGGGGGAGTGGATCCCTGGGGGAGGGAGACACAATGCTGGAGCAGACCATTGGTAATGGGGGTAGCAGCCCCTGGTCTGGCTGTGCCCACTGCCCTGCACCGCGCTGTGCCCTGGGCTCATCTCTGCACCATTTCCCTCGTGCAGCTGGAACTGGCCACAGCCAAGAACGACATGAACCGGCACCTTCACGAGTACATGGAAATGTGCAGCATGAAGCGAGGCTTGGACGTGCAGATGGAGACTTGCCGGCGGCTCATCACCCAGTCTGGGGACAGGTGAGCTTAGCAGGAGGGATGGGATACCCATGCTCTGGAGCCAGGGTGGTGGTGAGTGGGAGCTGAAGGACTCCTGCACTGCCCTGATGTGGCATGGAGTGAGGGCAGCTTCCAGAGGCTGTTGGACTCCTGGTGACCAGCCTCCGCTCAGGTCATGGTGCCACCTCTGCAGAAGGTGGGCTGCACGCAGGAGTCTGTTTTGAGAGGTGAAGCCAGACACCCCTGATGGAGAGAGGTGCTGCCATTGTTACAGGGACATTGTATAAGTCTCCAAAGGCCTGTGGAGCCAGGGTGGCTTCAGGCTAGGGACCTCTGTGGTGGGCTTTCACAGACCCTTAGCCTTACATGCCTTGTCAGGGTCCTGCTCTGGACAGGCCCCTCCAGCATTTCGCCCAGCTCTACTCCATGCTCTTGACCTCTTGATTGGTGTCCTTTGGAACACCCTCCCCGGCCCCCAGGGATTCCCACATACTCATACTCCCCAGGGGAGCAAGGGGGGCACTTCAACTTCTCTCACTCCTGCTGCCCTGCCCCCTGCCCACACCAAACGGGGTCCTTTCCCTCCTCCTGGGTGATGCTGTGACCGCTGCCCTTTGCTATTCTCTGCAGGAAGTCTCCTGCCTTCACCCCGAGCTCCAACAGCGAGTCAGCCCCGAATGAGGAGAGTGAGGAATCGGACCGTGATCCACCCAGCGATGCTTCTATCAGATAATGAGGGGAGGCCCTGCTCCCTTGGACCCCCTTCCTGGCATGGGGGTGCCTGAGTCACGCCTGGGAGAGACTGTCAGGGACGTGGAACCACTGGTAAACGTCTGTCACCCAGGCTCACTCCCATTTTGGGGTGCTTGGCAGATCCCACACACCCCCCTCACCGGATACCTTGCAAATGGGAATAGCTAGATAGACCTGAGGGCCCTTGCCCGGGCTGCTCTGCCTTCAGCCCCTTCTCTATTCCCTTTTCCTGCTTTGGTTAAACCGTGGTTCGGGCAGGGAGGCTCCAAACCTGCCATGGTGGCGTTCTCCAGGACCTGTTCCCAGGCCCCCCCAGACCCACCTCCTCTGGCCTCCGTCCTGGTACACTTGACTTGCCCCCTGCCCTCCCTGCGCTACACGGAGCTGAACGAGAGCCGTACCTCCCTGCAAACTGGACCTGACACTGGTGCCAACTGGACCGAGCCCAGGGCTCTCTCTGTCCTTGCTGCTGGCTGGGCGCCTGGCTGGTGCCCCTGCCATGCCGGGCACCCCGAGCCCTCCCACCCCTCCTCCGGGTTGGGGGCCAAGTCCCGCTCACTGTGCACTTTGCTTTGCCGCCCGTCGGCGATGCGCTCACGTCTGTGTTACGGGGGCGAGGTCATTAAATGGGACAATTTCCTTTTCTACAGCTTCGCCGGGTGTGGGCTCTCCCTGTGCTGTCGCGGGCGATGCGTGGCTTGAGGCAGGGGGTGTCCTCCACCAGGCCCCCAAGCTTACATCATTGGGTCCCCTTATGGGGCAGTCCCATCCCTTGGGCATGCTGGGTGGGACTGGCAGATGGGACAGTGGTGAGGTCCCTGTTCTGAGAGCCACCAGCCCTCAACAGACTGTGTGTAGCATTGGTGTTGTGTGGGCTGCCTTGTTCTTAATCTGGAGCATCATCGATGCTGAGGCTGAGGGATTGGAAGTGAAGCTGATCCTGGCTTTCCTGGCTTGTGACTTGTGGACCTTCCTCTCCTGTTGCCTGGTCTCCTCTGCCATGCCAGGGCACCCTTCTCGCCTGCTCTCAGTCCCACATCCAACCTCGGTGTAACCACAGTGGGGAATCCCCTGTCCCACCATCTCTTACAGCGTTTTTCTGGCTGGCCTGTGGCATGTGCTCCTCTGGTGACAGGAGGCTGGAGCCTGGCAGGGTGTCAGGAGGGGATGAGCAGCCTGCTGAGAGCCAATGTGATCCAGAGAGGTAGTGTCTTCTGGAGAAACAGTGTGATACACTGAGCAGTGGACTCAGGCTGCACAGCCAAGGCAGGTGAAGCTCTGGAGAAAAAATGCTTCTCACTAAATGTCCTGAAAGGAAAAGAAAGTAACATAGCAGTAGAGTTTTTTGGATCATCTCTGAGATTAGGTAAGGTAGATAAAATGGGGGCTGAGCGATGCAAGAGTTTCTCTCTGTAGGTTCATCATAGGTGGCCAACGCTGCCATGTGCTTTAGCTGGGAATGCCGTGGCATCCGTGCACCCCAGCACAGTGTGTTGGCATTTGGGCAGGGTGAGGCCCTCTGCCTGTGCCTGTAAGATGTGTTACGGCATGTGTTGGTGTTTTAGTGTGGGCTGACCTGGCTGGTTAGAGCTGGCAGGGAGGTGAGTCCCTGCAAATGGCAGAAGTCAGCAGCCGAGGAAACCTCCAGGCCAGGGTGGAGCTGGGGGACTGCTGCTGCTGGGAGATGGCGTTTCCACAACTGATGGTCTGCTGTGGCTGCGCTCCAACTCACAAGTGCCACCTTCACTTCTTGAAGGGAAATTGGGAGAGTGTTTCACAGGAGCAGCAGGGTGCTGGGAAGCAACAGAGGTGTGTTCCCTTGTCCTGGCTGCTTGTGGCTGTGTAAGTGGATGGGTGGTGTGTGTCTCAGTGCCTGCCATGGCCCTCACCTCCATGCTGCCTTGTCCAAATTTCTTTCCCTCTTCCTTTTTATTTTTCTTCCTAAAAGAGCTAAAGGAAATATTTTAATAGTCTTTTACTTTCAAGTGATGATGCTTCACACACAGTAGATCAGGGATCACTTTCTATCTTGCCTGGAGGCTCTTCTGGTTCATGCAAATCCCCTTTCCTGTACGTGTCTTTGCAGCATTTTCTGTTCTTTCTCTGCTGTGGAGAGCTCTGTGAGTGGCTGGCAGCGTCTGGCTTTCCCTGTGCATAATCCAGGACATGCATACCTTTGCCTCAGTACTGCTTAAGGAACCCACAAGACTGGAGAGATTTAAAGCATGAAGCACAGCAGGACTGACATCTCTGCCCAGAGGAACAGCAGGTGCTGCTAGACACCCGTGTACCAGGACATGTCAGGACCCCAGTCCCACACTGCTTGACAGAACTCCCTTCGCAGTGAAACTGAGGTCTCTGCCACCCATATGTGCAAGATGCTGTTCTCTGGTGAATTGTATCACCAGCAAGAGGCTCTGTTCCCCCACCAGTGACATCTGTGAACTGCTCAGTGCTGTGTTGCTTAATGCCATCCCTTTTCCAGGACACCTCTTGGCAGTGCCTGCTCAGGAAGCAATATCAATTCCTGTCTCACTTGGTGTCCATGCATTAATGTGAATGCTTAATGCCCAAGTATTGTCCAAGCATGGACTGAATGGGATTCCATAGCAGGATGCATCTGGGCAGTCCTTCTGTCAACATCCAGCTTGGGGCTGTGGCTGCTGACTGGTGACCTCCATGAACATTTGTCCAAGACTATCCTTTTAGGATTGAGTCTCTGGATTGGCAATGAGGTCCTCCCACTGAACATTTACACAGACTGGTTCATCAGCTTCCCTACCCCTCAGAAGTCCATGTTGGCGGAGACTTACTTGGGCAGTCTGGAAATATGCTAGTGGTTACTCTGGCTTCTCCCTCCCCAACATTTGGACTGCTGTGCCTAGGTGAGGACAGGCACAACTTTTATATCAGCTGCAGGAGTGGCACAAAACCCCTCCTTTGAGGCAAATGCTGTCCCTGGGCTGGGACAAACCCACTTTTGAGCATCCTGCCTCCATGAGGAGCTGAGGGACACAATCAGCCTTTGAGCTGGAGTGAGAGGTGCAGTTCTCTGCACTCCATGCTCCCCATGCTGAGATCAGTCTCCTAGCAAGGGCCTTCAGCAGGCAGTGCCAGGCATGCTCCAGAAGTGAGCTGTGGCTCCCTGCTGGATGCATTTCTGATCCTGTGGCATTAGAGTCACCTCCCCTACCCTTTCCCTGGTGATGTCCCCTAGGACGCATCTGAAAGGTGAGCGATGGTCTTTGGACACACAGTCTTCAGGGTGGCTCTGAGCTAATTTTAGCCTCTTCAGGAACCTCCTTGGACGAATCCTTTGGGAATGGGCCCTTCACAGAAAAGGTTTCCAATTTAGCCGGTCAGTATTCAAGCACTGCTTCCTCCAGGCCCAAGCATGGTGCATCCCCATGAGCAAGAAATCGAGTAAAAGTGGCAAGAGAACTGCTGATGAACAAGGAACTCCTGTCAATACTCAAGCACAAGCAGCAGATACGCAGGAGGTGGAATCAGGAAAAGGCTACTTGGAACAAATATAGGGATGTTGTCAGAGTGTGTAGAAATGAGATGAGAAAGGCCAAGGCCCATCTGGAACTAAATTTGGCCAAGGATGTGAAGGACAGTAAGAAGGGCTTCTTCAAATCCATTAACAACAAACAGTAAATGGGGCCTCCTCAGCAAGTTCACTGAAGACATAGCTGGGAGGAGGACTTCAACAGGCTGGAGGGTTGGGCAGAGAGGAACCATCTGAAATTCAACAAAGGCAAATGCAGGGTCCTGCACCAGGAGAATAACTCCACGTTACTCCCCAGTACAGGCTGGGGGCCAACTTTCTGGAAAGCAGCTCTGTGGAGAAGGCCCTGGAAGTCTGGTGGACAACAAGCTGTCCATGAGGCAGCAGTGTGCCCTTGTGGCCAAGCAGGACAATGGTATCCTGGGGTGCATTAGGACAAACATTGCCAGCAGGTCGAGTGAGGTGATCCTGCCCCTGTACTCAGCCCTAGCAAGGTGCATCTGGAGGGTTGTGTCCAGTTCTGGTCTTATTAGTGCAAGAGAGATATGGAGCTCCTGGACAGGTCCAGTGGAGGGCAACAAAGATCATGAGGTGAGGAAGCAGCTCACGAGGAAAGGCTGAGGGAGCTGGGCCTGTTCAGCTTGAAGAAGACCCAACTCATCGATGTGTACAAGTATCTGAAGGGAGGGTGTCAAGAGGAAGGAGCCAGGCTCTGTTTGTGGTGATGCCAAGCAACAGGAAAGGGGCAAGGGGCAGAAACTGGAACACAGGAAGTTCCACTTGAACAAAAGAAGAACTTTACCGTGCAGGTAACCAAGCACTGGAACAGGTTGCCCAGAGAAGTTGTAGAGTCTTCCTCACTGGAGATATTCAGGAACCATCTGGGTGCAATCCTGTGCCATGTGCCAGGGATGACCCTGCTTGAGCAGGGAGGTTGCACTGTAGTCCCTTCCAGCCTTACCTATTCTGGGATTCTGACCAGGCCCACTGAGTTTCTTGATGAATACTAGCAGAATTTCCCACACAGAAGGTGGGGAGCATCGCTTTCCTTGTGCCTCACTGCATGAGTGTGGGACGGTTCTTACTGGCTTTAGAGAGGGTTCAGTCAACCTAAGCACTTAGTAGCCCAGATCTTCTTCCCTGTGTTGAGTGAGCCTGCGCCATCCCTTCACTCATTCCTGGATCTGATCTATTTTAGATCATATCACTGAAAGAGTCTGACTTGTCTGTTGAGTCAGTTAAGGTCCTGTATTTTCCACCCGGCACCCTTCTGCTGAGGGTGCTTTGTCACTTGTCCTGCACGACTTGCCTTTGTGTGAATTAGCTTTTCCTCATATCGGGATTCCTTAGATGGACCTAAACGCGATGCTGACTGCCTTCCCCAGAACAACTTTTGATTCCCTGCTAACCTGTTCATCTTGTTTCTTAGCCAAGAGTCAGGAGAGGTCAAAGCTTCATAGAGAGTTTTTCTGGTTTCTAGATCTGAGCTGGGAGATGGACTTTCCTAAGCCTTGTTCTTTTGGCCATACTCTTTATACGTTTATGGTTGTTGCTGTCTCAGGTACCTGTGGCACAGGGTGTCCCAGAACTTGCACGTGATGATCAAGTATATGAAATACTCTGGCTACAGGTAAGAAACCTCCTTTCAAGAGGAGAAGTCAGAATTAATGCAGAATACGGTGGACTGCTGCCTCGTTGGAGATCCACCTGGATGATGCATGGACAGGCTCCTGAAAATGTCTGGCAAGCCCCTACACATGGTGATTAATGCTGGGAGTGATAGTAAGACAGCATGGAGAACTGGAAGGGCTGCAGGCAGCTTTAGGGAAGCCCAGTCATAGCTTAATCTTCCAATGGATGTATGAGAATGTGAGGAATGTTTTGAATGTGAATTTTTTAAATTTTTTCACTTTCCCTTGAGACAGAGCAAGGAGAGGATGCAGTAGGTCCTCTGGTGGGGGGGATATAGATGTCATAGCTTGGAGAGCAGATGTAAGAGCTGGGTACTAAGGTAACACTATGGAAAAGGAGCTCAAGCGGCCATCAAAAGGCATCATGATCAAGCTGGACCAATATCACCACAGATGGGAAGAGGCAACATTTTCAGCTCCCAACAGCAGACTGCATCTGGGCAAAGTGCAAGAGGAAACAGGAATTCTCAGGGTAGGAGGAAATGTAGTTAATTGATATTTTTAATGTTCACAATCACATGGTAGAACTGCTAGCTCAGTCTAACCCATTTGGGTAACAGGCAAATAGGCAAGAGCAATTGTGAATTGGGTTTACAAGCTGTGTTAAAAAATCACATTCACTCTAGAG